TCCCTTTCTCCTCCTGCCTTGGTTGGATGCGCTGATGGAATTCACCCTCGAGGTCCCCACACAGCCCTGGCCCGCCCCCCCCCTGCATCCTCTGTCCAGTCCCCGCCGGTTTGTTTCCAATGCATCAGCTTGGGGGGGTGGGCTAGGGTGGGGGTGGGGGAGAGGGCCAGGAGGTGGCACGTCCTGTGGCTGTTCTATTTCCATTTTCCTACTTCCTTTCTGGCCTCTGTCCTCCCTGTGTGGACACCTGGATCTCTCTGCAATGACATAAGCACCCATCCGTCCCAGTTCACTCAGCTCCACTGTGGGGACCTGCTGGGGGGACTGCCGGGACCCTTCAGAAAAGCAACAGCCAATAAAACCCATCTCCCGCACCACGCTCGCCTGTCTTCAGTCCACCTGGGGATCCAGGCCTGTCCAGACTCTCTCTCTGGAGCTTTCTGGGAGGGGCCAGGTCCAACCCGGTGCTGGGAGGGTTTGGCCCTTCCTTTCTGATCCAGCCAGTGGGGTGAGTTCCCAGGCGGCTGTGCCGATCTCTGAGGCTGGGAACCACCAGCATAGACTCTGAGCTCCAGGAGAACAGGTTGTAGGTGACGGGCTGGGTCACCTGGGAAAGTGCCTGGACATGTCCGGGCCTTAATTTTGGCATCACACAATGGGGTGGTAGTGTCTGACACCTACGACGTGGGTCTCTTAGGAAGACGAAACCCAGCAGCGCTGCTGAAGCACTGGGCACAGAGCCTGGCCTGCAGTAAGTGCACAGTGAGTGTTGGCAGAAAGGAGGAAACAGGGACAGGAAGAGAACGTGGGCGTGGGGGAGAAGGGCAGAGGGGATGCTGGGTGGAGGGGTGAGCTGCGGGCAGACCCTGGGCTACGGCCACTCAGCTCTGCCCGACCTGAGCCAGTGATGCGAGCAAGTCCACCCCGTGGGCCTCTCACTCGTGGTGTCTGGGGACTAAAAAGAACCTTCAGTGGCAGCTACCCAATTGCAGCCCCCTTGATTCATACACATGCAGACACATGCAGACAGGAAAGCATGCACTGGAGTGGGTGGCTGCCTCAGTTTCTCCAAAGCCCCAAGTCCTGCGGAAGCCGTCCTCCTAAAACGTTGTGTGGTGGACCCCACATTGGGTCCCAGTCTAGGGACAGGCTGGCCCCGCATCACAGGACACAGCCCCACAGCTGTTCACCCCCTGCTGCCTGTGCCGCCCAGGGCGCCGCCTCCCGTGGCCACCCTGGGGCTGCAGCAGGCCTGCTGTCTCGGGGTGTGGGGCTCTGTGACCCCTCCCTACACCCCCACGAGGCCTCGTGCTGCTTCCTGTTCTGCAGGCTCCTCCCAGCCCTTTCATCTGGGTAAGGTCGCTACTGCTGCTGGACCAGCCTACCCTAGGCCCTCATGTGTCTAAGAGGCAGCCCTTCCCCGTGGCCCACAAACGGCTCATGTGGGCCCGGCCTGCACCTCCAGCCGCCTGCCTTCTCTCCTTGGTTCTTGTTGCCTGAGGCTCAGGCTATGAGTTCCCACCAGGGCCCTCCATGTGTCCCCCACCCCCCTAGGTCCTGGCCCTCAGCCCATCCTGCCCCCAAGGCCTCACCAGCGGGAGACCCCACACCGCTTCCCCCTGGCTCTCCAAGCCCCGCAGCTGCCCAGCCCTCCTGCCAGAAGCAACTGAGACCCCATGATGCCGCCATAAATACGACCACTTTATTAACATACACAGATGAATACTGACGGCAGCACAGGGATGAAACCCACCGTCCATACCCAAATACACCGTGAGAAAGAGTGCCTCTTCCTGGGGCAGAAAGTGCGGTGGGCCCCTCCATACAGGTGACAGCCCCGAGTGAGGGAGGCAGAGCTGAGGCTAAGCTGTGCAACAGAATTCCTCTGGAAGGCGCACACCTAAGCACGCTCAGGGACCCGGGTGGCGCCTGGGTCTCCGTGGCTGCTCCGAGGCCCCCTCCCCCACCCCACAGCCCCTGGGGGAGTGAGGCCCTTCTGCCACGGGATCATCTGTAAGTCACCTTGAGAAGGCCCTGCCACCCCACAGAAGGGCCTGGACTGTGGTGGGTAGCATGACGGTCACCTCCACTGCTGGGCTTTGGACCCTCGGGCTCCTTGGGTGAGGGGCTGCCGGGGAGTGGGGGTGAGAGCCACACACACAGGATCCTCACGCCTCTCTGCACGACTTCCCACGGCAGGGGCAGCTCTGTCCTGGGAGGGGCTGATGGGTGCTTGGAGATCCTCCCCCCACCCTGGGAAGAGCAGAGGTCCATAAGCCGTGGGAAGTCCCTTCTTGTCAGCCAAGGTTCAGTGTCGTGTCTTCACAGCCCGGGGTGCCCTGCAGGAAGGGTGTCTGTGGAGGGGCCCCAGGAGCTTCGGTGGCCCCAGGGTGGGGCGCTCGGATCTCGAAGGGGCTGCAGCTGCCAGCCTAGGAGTGCGGGGTCCTGCAGGAGCGGCAGCAGGCTTTGCTGTAGTACCAGTGGCTGCAGAGGTTCACCTTGATGGCCAGGGCGCAGTTGGTGCCTGGCTGGTCCTGGCAGCTGTCGTCTGGGGAAGGGGGGTGGGTCAGAATCAAGGGCAATCAAATCAGGGGGCAGCCAAAGGGTGAAAACTCTTCAGGACCCCCACCCACCCCACCCCCTCCTCTCCTTAACTGTGGGAGCTTCGTCTGCCAAAGGGCGGCCCTGGCAGCAGAGCACCTGTGCTCAGGTGTGCCCTACATTTCCCTCTCCAAGTACAGGGGCAAGGGGCCTCCAGCTCTCTGCAGCTCCTTTTCCGACCCCTGCTCCCTCCCTAGGGATGGTTTGAACTGGGAGGGGCTGGGATTTGGAGGAGCTGCTGGTCTCACTCCCAGAGGCCTGAGTATCCTCAAGGGCCCACAGATGCGCCCCGCACTGGATATATCTACGGCAGAGCTCACCTCCTGCCTCTGCACCTGACGCCCACCTTGAGCCTTGCCCTTGTCCTTCTTCCAGATGCCCAAGCCAGACACCTGCTCCCGCCCTCCCCTCCTGGGAGCTCACCTCCCCGCCTCCTGTGTCCAGTGCCCGGGCCGAGTCATCCTGGATTGCTGGTCCCCCGGCCCCACAGTCGTCCTCCCATCCAAAGCCAACACTCTCCCCAGAGTACAGGTCTCAGCATGGCTGCGTGGGGCCCTCCAACTCCAGTCAGGCCTCCCTTGTCCCCCGTTCCCAGCTCCCCTCCCAGCTGGGCTCAGCCACTCCCGGAGGGAACCGTTGCTGCCAACGAGCCTTGGTCTGT